AAATTGAAATTGAATCTGTCAGTTAAATACTAAATTTACACAAAAATCTAATCAAAAAAAATTCCTCTATTCATCTTCATTCCAGAATTTAACAAAATAAAGAAGGAAGAAAAATGAAAATGAAATAGGATGGGAAATGTTTTAAAAGAAAAGAGAAAGTAAGAGAAGGTAGATGGGAAGAATGAAAGAGAATTAAATATTATAAATAATTTGTTGTAAAATGCATTTAATACAAAATATTATCGAAAATCATCCTATAAATTTATATATTATAATATAATCTATTTAAGGTAAAAAAAATGAAACAAAAGAAAGAAAAACAAAAAGTAAAAATTAAAATATATTTTCCTTTTTTTTCTTTCATTCTCCGTTTCTTCCTTTTTCATTTTCTTTTTTTTTTTTTTTTTTGAAAAAATATAAAAATTTTTCCAACAACTTTTTTTTTTCTTTTTATTTATTTGTCCTATAGTGGCCGGCTTAAATGCTTTATTTGTTAGCCATTCAAGAGAAAAAAAGAAATCGTTGCATTTCAAATTATATTCAATTCAATATTTACTTCTCTTCTCACTCCTTTCTTTTTTTTTTTTCCTTTCCAAACAAATCATTGCAACCGGTGGTAAATATTATTAAGAAAGTTATGAAAAAATTAATTTTTGCTATTACAGAATTGAATTAATTGTTGTAAAAATGAGTGAATGATTAATTTTTGCTTTTCTTTTCTCTGTTAATTATTTGAAATTCAAATAAATTGTCTCATTTTTTTCTCAGAAAAGTAAAAAAAAAATTTTTTTTTTTCAAATTGCTTTAGATAAAATTTTATTAAATTTCGATTTGACAATAAAAGAGCTAATTAACATCCGTATATGAACTTTTTCTTTTTTTTTTACTTGCCATAATTAAAGATCAAGAAAGAAAGATGACGTATACTTTTTTGTTAGATTAAAATAAAATTTTAAAAAAAAATGAATAAATGTTAATAAAAAATTTTCATCAAAAAAATTTAAAATTCCAAAAAAAAATCTGATTTTATGTCATTAAATAAGAAAAAAATGGAAAAATCTTTCGTTTAAAATAATAATAATTAATGCTAAAATTTTTGATATTTATGAACAAAAACAAATTAATTATTAGTTAGTAATAATTTTAAAAAAGTGTCTACAATAAAACGAAATCTTTATTTTCCACTTTATTTTTCTCATCAAATTTATTATTATTATAAATGAAAAATATATATAATATAGCTAACATAAATTTTAAACTTAATTAAAACTATGCTATGAGATAAGTAACTAAGAATTAATTCATACTATCTTATAGGATATATAACCTAGAATTTAGCTTAAATTTAAACCAGAAAGTAAAGTAAATAACATAGTACTTCCGGTACAAGTATTTATTTACATCGAAAGAGCTTGACAACGAAATTGAAGTAATAATTATCATTCGTCAGCTAAGGTGGCTTTTGGAACAAGTAGCACGAGAGTAAAATGTTGACGGTAGGAATGAATTATTTCAATCATTCTATTTTACTTACTTACTTCTTTCACTACTCAATCTCCGCCCAAAGTATCTCTCCTGTCATAAATTTTCAACTTTTTTTTTTTCTCTTTCTTTTTCTTATCATTTTTATTTGATGCATCTCTATTGTAATAATTTATTACTACTACTTCTCAAATAATTATTCATTTTGTTAAATTTTTATGAATGCACTTTTTAAATATTTCATCAATTAATTTATTCAACTTTGAGACTATTATTTTTGTTTTGTTTTATTTTTTTTTTTTTAATTTTAAATGCACTTTTTTCCAATATGAAACATTTCATTTCTTTTTATTGCACAAGCAGAAAGTTCATATTTATTTGTTCGAAATGGCTTTATTAAATAAATGACAAAATTAATATGGCATCATAAATGAATGAGAAATTTTAATTTGAATGATATATTTTGGAAAAGTTAAAATTAAAATCATAACGTCTTTTTTCCCTTGAATAATAAAAATAACAGAATGCTTATATGAATTAGTGGAATTAAACATTTTATAATATTTTCCTTTAATTCCCTAAGCACCTTGAATGATTATGCTCATCATTTATTTTTTATTAAAATATTTTTACAGTGAATTATACTTATGAAATTACAACTAATTAGTGTTTCTTTTTTCCTTTGAATTTAATTTTATAGATTAAAAATTTCTCTCTTCTCCGTTCCTCTCTTCTCCCTCTTTCCTCATATAAGTTCTTTCTGCTTTTTTTTTACTTTCAAATTTGATGACTTAACAGAATGGCACTTGTTGCAAATTCCCACTTAAAAAAATGCATTTCCTCGTCGGCTTCAACTGTTATTTTAAATTACATCAAATTACATAATGGTCTGAGAAAATATTAAAATATAAAAAACGAAGAATTGAGCACAAGAAAAGATTCAACACTCATTAAAAAAAAAATTAAACATGTTTCTCGAAATAATCAACAAGCAAAAACGGAAGAAAACATAAGCCCAGACACCCGAGATTTGCTTTTGTTAAGATATATTCACATTCGGTTGAATGTACCTTGAAGACTTTTTTGAAACGGACACAATCCGTGAATCCAGAAGATTCGCTTTTTAAAATACCCACACTGATTTAGTGCACCAGAAAACATTTGCCGGAAATGTTACTATTCCTTCCTTACCTCTACCACATATAGAACACATCCCAATAGCAACTATAGTGAAATGTTACCATGTCAAAGACTCTAAGACTTCAAATTTCATGGCAAACATCACATTCAACCTAAAACCTTAGTAAAAGAAGTTAGGCATACACTTCTATTAAGTGGTCACTCAGAAAATTCTGAAATTTATTCCGAAGACATCACCATCTGAAACCAAATAAATCACTATTGACAAAGTTTCAATATTGTTTGTCGTTCAACAGAAAAGAATTTCTGGAATTAAACATTTTATGGTAGAACTTAATCAAATATATTTCAAATTATCTTTGAAAAACACCAATTCCCATTAACCAATAGTATAGTTCAAATATTTCACGCATTCAAGCAAATCATTTATCACTTCAGATAATACAACAACACTAACAACAGTTGACAACACAATAAAAATCAATATAGTCGCTGGGGTGGCCCCATTGTGCTCTTTATATGTAGTGACCGCACATTCTGCCAATTCTTCTTCAACAACGACACAAGAAAATTGATAGAAAGAGCGATATTAGAAACCAGCTCTTCCGGTGTCATTCCAACATGTCCAATTGCTACCGACAGGCATAATACCTGCAATTAAAATGCTGCTTCATGTTAAGACCAACAGTGACCAATGCTTGCAATTCTCAGATATGGAAGTTCTGATACATTAAATGGTCATTTCGATTAACGAAAGCACTGACCTTTTTCATTTGAAATTTGATCGTTGAACGGATCTCTTCAATTTTAGTTATCAGTGGTTCAGAATGAGCAACAACACTTGGAAATTTACCAGCCTTATTTAGACCTGGTCCAAGTATACGTGGAATTTGCTTAATCAAAGCTTCCGAAGCCAAGAATGCATCATACCCCTGAAAAATGTAAAAAATGTTTTTCCACTATTACACTGGTGATACCTTCCTTTCAAAATGAACACTCACCAATAGCACATATCACATAAAGGTCAAAACGAATTAGAGTGATGAGAAACAAATAAAGGAAACCTTTGCTAGCTTCTTAATCAGCTTCTTATTTTTGTTCAATTTTTTTAATTCATCCGCATTCATGCACGGTATACTGTTTGCGTTAGCTTCATCGCAATGTTGTTGATCGCCCAATACACACACTTTCATATTTGGTCTTGGTATATTTTTCAGCCTAAATATAATGTTATTTGCAATCGGAAAATATAATGTTATTTGCAAACGGAATATATAACCTAAGAACAATAAATATTTCAATATGGAAGTTAAATTGAAAGATTACTATAAAAATCAACTAATTGAAACCTCGAAACAAAATGAAATACAGAAGGAATAACTCATTCATTTAAAATCATTTTACATCTATACGTAGCCTACATCTAATTCAGTTAATAGCACCATGATCCATCCATTAGGAAATGGGCAAACAAACGACGATGTGAGGGAAGAAATGTGGATAGCCTGAATGACTACTAAGTTGAGTGAACCATCGAGTTCAAATGGAAAAGTTTCCTAACATCCCATCAAATCTGCCCAAAACTACTCTATCCTATCTTCTGTCTGCTTCATCAAACCCTATTCAATCTCTTTTTCATTCTGTGGTATTCCTTCCCCCTGCAATCATCTGAACAATAAATTAAATGAACTTTTTCATTCTAACCTAATTTTGACCACTGCTTCATGCTTATTCATAACCCCTTTACCATTATATTGTATCAGAAATTGAAACGTAGTGCTTACGGTTATTCGTCACTCGTTAACATAATTAGTTCGGATTTCAGACAACAAAAAAGAATAGTGCAAGAAATCCTCCCCATTATTTCAAGACTCTGGGTTAAAGTCTTCGCCGTTTATGCTAAACGACTTCCTGCTCATCCCAATCAACAATTCGGCATGAATGGAAAGAGTAGGCATTCCGTAGAAAGGATTAATTGGTGCTGATATAGTTGTTGGTAATACCTTACGGATCCACTGAAACGTTTATCTTTCTGTGGATCATAATTCTTCAGTGCTACTTGTAATTCGACTGTTTCACGAAATTTCCGCTTCTTTTCCTTCGATGCTTTCAACACCTCATTGACACATTCGAAAAGCGTGTCACGTGGAATTTTACTCATTGTATAAGATTTAACGCCTACTGAACAATACCCTGAAAATTGCATTGATTAGATATCAATCATATCACAGAGTTTCCACGCATAGAAACGAAACTGCTGCATATGTGTTCAAGAAGTCACATTTCTGAAAGATGTACGAAATGATTTGAAAACAACATCAGAAAAATTTAAGTAAAACAAATGGTAGAATATATACATATATATGCAGACATACGCCTTATGCACATTCACGTGCGTGAACCACACATGTAACGTACGTATGGCTACCACACGCACCACATTCACATAATCCCCTGCAACTAAAGCAGACCGAACAAGCTCCACGACCAGCCCAGGTAACACCATTAATACCCAAAATTCCCAATACACCGTAATTAAAAACGCGTTCCGAGTAAATATTTGTATTTTGCAGCATTATATCCCGTTGCATTTTTCCCCACCTATCAGCTTTAAATTTTACAACAGATTTTTTAATTTAACGACGCAAAACAAATGCTATATGTGATCTATATGTAACGTATTTTCTTTTTACTCTTTTATCATTTGTAATTCTGAAAAAAAAAATTCGACAAAAGACAAAATATACATCGGCTATTCAGTCCAATGTATTTCATAGTGATTGCTTAACTGAACTGCCATATATTTATTATATGGCAGTCCAATTATTATTAGGAGGTATTTGAAAACCTAATTCTGTCTAATCTATGAAAAATATAAAAATTAAGCTAATATCAATAACAAATTGCTATCTTTTTTTTCTGGCGTCATATAACTCTATAAACGAAGATGAACAAACAATCACTCCAAATCATTCTTCTTAGTCGATAATTGAATACTTGTTTTGTAATGTTTTTCGTTTGTTTTATTAATATTTAATGCATGCAACTAATTGATCAGGTATACAAAATATTTGTGAATCAAAATCAAAAGAAAAGTATTTCAATTGCAATATCACCGACTTCTTTTTTCGTAATATAAATTGTGGACAAAAAAATAAATAAAATACGGGATAAAGATTTATAAAAACCATAAAACAAAAGAAAAGTGAATTCAATTGAGGCAACATTTAAAAAGAAACAAACCATTTGATTTCTTCCTGATGATCAGATCATATTAACTAGAAATTAATATTTCAAAAATAAAAGAATTTCTATTAAATGGATCAATGATATACTCGTTTATCATATCTCACCGAATGAATAAAACTGTTATTTATCAGATATTAAATATTTTTATACGAAAAATACTCAAATATCCATTATACTCATCATCAGGCTTTCATTAGGCTTCCGATTCATAGTAATCTATTACTTTCCAACTCATAATCTATTACTTAGCGAGAGAACTTTAAAATGAACTTTAGAACATGTGTAGTAAAAAAATAGCTCAGTTATCTCATAAAATACAAAACTGATTAGCTCCAGCAGAGTTCGATAAAGCACTATCATATGATCATTCCTTACAACAAAAGATCATGTTGAGTTGTGCCGCACTGATTATTAGTTTGCTTGAAAGATCAGATTCTTTAATACCAATATGAGATGATATTTCAGTAACTGAAAAAAAAAATGAATAATAATAATAATAATAATGTAAAAAGATGTGAAGTTAAAACTTAGAAAATAAGAATTGTTAAATAAAACTGGGGAAATGAAAAAAAAAACTGAAAGAGAAGGGATCTAAATAATTGCGAAATTGTTGTGTAGGATTTATGATTGTAAAATCTTTGAAAATTATTTAAACAATTTAAAACTTTTACAAACTAAAAAAATTTGTGGTGAACAATTCCTTGTTACAATATAGTCAAATCAGCAAAACGTTCATTATTTAGAGCATCTTCTTTTGTTTCTATCTGAAAAGCATTTTCCGTTAATCCAAAATCTTATTGATATTTCTGAATGCTTGAAACGAAGTTTAGTATTGAAAGATAAGACTTTTGATGTTCATATGAATGAGAGATAAGAATTTCATGTAAATTTAAATCAAATAAATAAACATATAAACGTGGAATGCGTGTAACTGCATAAAATCTCTTTCATAAAGTACATAATATAAACTACTTATACAAAATATGCATAATGTAAACTAACATATTGGTTTGGTTCAGCGATAGAATGAAATTTCCAGCACACTGTAGAGCCGAACTGATCGTACGAAAGCCAAACATATGTGATATTTCCAGCGAATTCATTCCATCGATTCATCACTGACTTTTTAAAATGCTCCAAATCAACCCAAATTTTTCCAGCAACATCACTTATCCAAATCCAATCTTTTTTGGGTAAATTTTCTGGTACCTTTACTTTTTGACATATCTACAATTCCCACGAATATATCATATAAATGATTACATATTAATGAAAACAAATTGATCTGACGCAAGTTAAAATGGAAATAAAAAATTAACCTTATGACAGCATTTTTATAAAACAAAAATTATAATTACCTGAGCTTTACCATCTACCACTCTAGTTAGCATCATTTGTGTCTTTGAATATTTTAATTTATGAGCTTCTAAAATACCACCTCGCCTATAAAATTAAAAGTTAAACTTCAAAAAGCAATTTTGCATTTAATACTAAACAAATTTGAAAACTTTTGGTTTGCTTCTAAATTATCGTCATTTATTCATCCTTTTAAAAGAAAATTTGCTTTTCCGTTTCGTTAAAAAAAAACGGATAAGATGGAAATATTCAGGAATAGGGAATTTTTGGATAGCTAAATCGGACAAAAACGACAAACGAAATAGAAACTAACCCATTCTGTACGACAAAATCAATCCAAGCACCTATCGAGATATTCTGGCATTGCTGATGACAGAAGTAAACAGTTCCAGTTGCTGCCGACCATAAGACAACTTGCTCTACTATAAGATCAATAAATGATTTTAGTAAATAAATGAGTAAAAGATATAAAAATTGAAAAAAAAAGATAATAAATTTTAAGATATTTGCTTTTAATAAATTTATTTTTTAGAGATTAAAATAACTGCAAAAGTTTTAAGAAAATAAAATACTGAAGTGACCTCTTTAACAGCGAAATAGCAATAAGTATGAATGCTAATATTAATAATGAAATTATATCTGACTATTGAAATCTCAAAAATTATTAGAATAGCAAAAGATTTATTAATTTCATTATTTTTTCTTCTTTTGATGATGAGTTAGTTGCATGTTTCATTAATACTTCATCAATATTTGAAAAAAAATTAAACGAAGATAACTAAAGTTCCAGAAGTATGTATAATATTTTATATGTTCAGTGATATTTGTAACATCGAATATTTTAGACACTAACAAATAATTCCATTATTTAGCAAAATTAACAAAAAAAAAAAAAAAACAATAAACACACAAAAAAGAGGCCATTAATATTTTAAAGAAATAACTCACTTCCTTGGCAGTCTATATCACGTCGAATTACTAATCCTGAATATATAGCCGCCGGATTGGTTTTATTCTTAGACAAATTTTTCTAAAAAAAAAAGAGAAAAAAAAAGGAAAGACTGGTTTTGACATTACGAAGTAATTTGATGATAAATTAAGGCACTTAAAATTAATAAGTATAAACTTTAGCAAAAATAAAGGATGAAAAAACGTATACCAAACAGTGAACTGATAGTAATTTCGCATCAGCTGGCATTTCTGATCCAATCCATGGCTAAAAAAAATGATTTTTTACCAAAAAATATTATAAGGTGAACCATCTGATGACTTAATTATGAATAATATGCAAATTGAAAATGATTTAATTAGGAATAATATGTAAAATTACGAAAATTGTTTTAAGAAAAAAAATCCATGGTTACATCAATAAATCATTTTTAAATCCACCAAAATATTCCGCATGCTAGTGAAAATAGTTTTTCTACAAATAGTCTTGAAAAACTGATAAAGCTAAAAGAATCTCCACTTTATGCTTCAATGTTATGAGTTAGTGATTACAATTTTTATCATAAATAACTTTATGATGTATAAGAAATCTACCTATCAATCTATCTGTTTTAACTGATGAATCATATCAGATGGGGGTGTAGAAATATTAAGTAAGTAATAATTTTTTAAATATATATATATTAATTAATTACAAGCAAAAATCTAACCGCATCATAAATTGGAAGTTGATTATAAGCTGGTCTAATAATTTCAGTTACTTTCATTAAAACATTATTCGACATGTACGGTTCGGTTAATAGTTCAATCCAGGTCACATAAATAATATCTGGCATAACATTTTCATGATTAAATATTCCATTATCATCTAGGATCCACTGCAAAAGATACAACCATATTCAAGTAATATTAAGATTATCCAAAGAATATATATGCATTATTTAATTAGTCAACTTACTTATTTAAGAAAATAAACATTTCATTTAATTGCTTTCCGTTCACAAGATTATGAGAAATGTAACATTCGAAGTGTAAGAATTGTACAATAACAATTCAGAAGATTTTTATAAACCAAAACTGAATGAAACTATTTTAAAAAGATAAGTGATATAAATTTTTACAAATGAACTAATGAATTATAAATAATAATAATAATGGATAACACCTCAAAATGAGGTGACCAAACATATTGTTCCAGAGTATCATCTAAATTCTCTCGATGAGGTGTAGCTGCGATTGTTTGAATCTGAAAATAAAACTGATAACAAAGATAATTTTGAAATTTTTTCCCTTTTTTTTTAGGAAAAAATCAGAAGAATGGAAAGAATTATATTAAAATTTTCAAACATATCAAATAATTATTAATAACAAATTTTGAAGCATACTGAAATTCGACTGCTTATTGAACCATCACTGTCATATAACTTTACAATTTTGGTTGGAAGAACTGGTGAACAAGCTTCAATGAATGGTGCCATCGAATCATCATTAAACTATAAAACAAACAAGAGAAAGAAAATATATTCAATATTTTTTTTCTTTTAAATTGAGACACATATAATTATTCATTTTTCATCCAATCATTATCTTTCGTCTTTTCTCTTCGCATGTAAATTAAATGTCTATTTCTTACATAAATTTGAACCGCTTTTTTTGTAATATTTAACTTTATGAAATTCAATTGTGCTACATGTAAGAGTTGAAATATACATTTACAGAGATAAGTTTGCACTAATATCATATGTATATAATTTAAAATATGAAATGAGACATAGTTTAGCATTTTTCTCTGAGTGTTTTCTTCTAGACAAATCAATAAAATCACTATTATCATTAATCGCAAATGAAAATCAATGAAAATTATATGAAAAGGAATCATTAAAAGACATACAAGTTGAGCATTTTTCCAACGGTATATAATAAATAATTTTGATTATTTGCCATAATCTTTTTTTAATTTCAATAAATGAAAAAATTTAAAGACTAAAATACTAAAATACTTACAATTTCTTTTGAATTGAAAACAAAATCACTCAGT